CCCCCCCCCGCCCCTCCCCCAATACCCGAAGTTCACAGCAGGGAAAAGGCCGCCATTTGGTGGTGAACACATGTGCAATGGTGCCGCCTGCTGTTCCCGGAGGGAAGTGCCAAGCCGTACCCGGCCGCTGGCCCCAGGGCCTTCCCAGTGGGTTTTCAGGATACCTTCCCCGGCACGTGGCCCGCCAAGGGGATGGGAAGCTGCAAGGTGCATCTGCCCTTTCCCTGCTGTATCTCTTCACATCAATTGCCCCTGCGGCTTCTGAGAGCAGCTCTAAGGGCCTGTGGGAGCAGGGGCAGATTCCCTCCCTGGGGAGATCCAGCCACCATATGGCAGGCTCTGGATAATAAAGGGCTGTGATCTGGCTGCTTGGGTGCCCAGAAACCTCACACCCAGCTTCCCGCTGCTGCTACTGGAGGACTTCGGCCTCGGTGCCTGGAGGGGCTCTGTCCTCCTGGGGACACAGAGCCCAGACCTGGCTGCCTCTCACTGCGATGCAGCTGGAATGATACACCATCACAGAGGGGGAGGCAGAAAGTGGGTAGAAGTATGGGTTCTGGGCCAGGCTGCCTGAGACTGAAAGCCACGGTGGGACTTGAACCCTTCTGCCTCTGTGTCTTCATCCATAAAACCAGTAATACTTATTTCATAGTGTTCTCAAAGGGATCAGGAGAGTCAGCTCACATCAAGCCCTTAGAGGAGGGCCTGGCACACAGGAAGCACTGAATGGAGAACAGCCTCTTTCATCACCCCAACCCCCTGAGGCCCATCCCTGCTGACTACCGTGGGGCCTGGGGTTCCAGCCACCTCCTCTTCCCTCAATCCTTCCTAGAGCTGGGGGATGGGCGAGGGGGGGGGTTTCAAGGGGGATTTTCGAGGCTTCCCTGGAGGCCAGACTCCTGTGTGCCCTCACCTGGCCCCTGCCTTAACGTGCCAGCCAGGAGAGCAGTGTGATGCAGCAGGGGACAGTGTGGCTCCAAGTCAGACTGCTGTGTGACCTAGGCAGGTTACCCGAGCTCACTCAGCCTCCACTGCTCCCCCCAAAAAAACCAGTAGCTACTCCTAAGGTGGTGAGGACTGAGCCAGATCCTTCCTGTCTGATGCTTAACCCTGTGCGGGAATGCAGGAAGAGCCCCCAAAGTGTAAGTGTGCGTACAGCGTAAGCTGCTGTCATTCTGCCGCTGTGTGTTCGCCCCTGCTATTTCCCACCAGAAGTGCCCTCCCCCTTCCTCCTCATGCCTAGAAAGCCCTTGGGCATCTTTTGGAGCCTAAAGCAGATGATTTTTCCTCTTTGGAACCTTCCCGCTCTCCCCAGAGACAGCCGGAGTTCTCTGCTGGTGCCACAGAAGAGCGATGCCTCCCAGTCAGTAGTGCTCGCCCCGCAGGAACCCATTTGCCGACAACTCAAATTGCCTGACTTCGCCCCCGGGCTGTGGGCTCCTCTGGGGCAGGGGCTGAGCCTCTGTCTCCCCCAAATCCCACACCTTCCCAGTGCATGGCAAGTGTTTAACAAATATCTGATGAATCAACTGGAGAAATACAGGGGTGGGCTCTCGGGGAACACGGTGTGGGCTCTGACCGCCCCCCCCCAGATGGGCTGGACCGCCCGCCTCTCCTGCCCCAGGGAAGGCCTGGGGTTTGCAGAGGGAGGGGGGGCACCACAGCCAGAAGGCTCAGTGGGCCGTGCCAACCCGGCTCCGAAGGAGCTGCTGGAAAGTGCGGCGGAGGACTGACAGAAAAGAAGGCAGAAGAGAATCCTGAAGCTACCTCCTGGCACTCACCTTTCTCCCTCTTTTCTTTCAGCGTCTCCCTGTAGTTCGTTTTCTTCAGCTCTTCAATGATGCCCTTGTTGGCATCATCCAAGGCCTGTGGGTGGAGAGGAGCCGGTGAACTCTTTTTTTTTTTGTTTTTTTGTTTATTTATTCTTGAGACAGAGACAGAGTGTGAGCAGGGGAGGGGCAGAGAGAGAGGGAGACACAGAATCTGAAACAGGCTCCAGGCTCTGAGCTGTCAGCATAGAGCCCGACGCGGGGCTCGAACCCACGAACTGTGAGATCATGACCTGAGCTGGTCAGGCGCTTAACCAACTGAGCCACCCA